AATATTGCGAGTGTTACGCTCGTATAAATCATTCTCGTTCTTTCCAATCTTGATTCGAACCTTAGAATCCTTCCTACGTAATAAGAAACAGCCTGTATAATCGGATTACGAATATCCTTGCGAATGGAGCGTCAACGCGTAACTATTCCTGGAAGACTACCTTCATTATACTCTCAAACGTCGTTGTGTTAATCACTTACGTTTACGCGGGGGATTACGAGGTTAGAGACATACAAAATACGGTAAGTGGATTAGCGAAAGGTCTTTGGTTATTCTGATTCGTTCATTGTTTGACGGAAGCTTCGGGACTGTTGGAACAGTACGTTAAATACAATGGTAGCAAATTAGAAAATATTCTAGCTTCTACCTGCGGCTTCGAATGCCTCGAAGACATTTCCTGCCATTTTCTTTTTTAACTGCGTCTGCGAATGGAAAATGTATATGCAACAACAAAGTTTCTCAAATTGTGTCTTAAATTCGTTTTCTGTAAAAACAAGTGACAAATATTTTATGACGTTCCCGACGATCATCCTGTCTAACAGGAAGTTTGCAATAAATCACTTACTCCGAACAAATATTTTCAGCTCATCGTTACTGATTTGAAAAATCGTGCAACTCCGAATAAATGGTAACTTTAAAATTGTGTGAAACGAGGGTCAAGTATATTTTTCGAAAATTTTCTACGGAGGTGTCTTGGAAAGTAGAAGTAGGGGCACGCTCCCACCCTGCGTCAAAATTATTATTTAACGAAATTTCTATCGGTTGTTCCAATATGGCCGCGAAAGGGCGGGAAAATCTATGGACTTTAAACTTGATTTTATAACTGCTTAATACTTTGACGGCCGCTGTCACGTATATGTGACTTTGAGAGCCAGCAGACATCGGCCAGTGTCACGTGTGCGTGATCTATCAGTTACCATTTCATCGTACATTCAAAACTTATTACGTTTGTTGAAGTTCCTAGCATCTTCATGTATCTCACTTTGGTGTACAATATTAGTGGTGATGGACAAAGGTTTTCGCGTGATAAGTGCAGCTGTTAAAGTGTTAAGATAATTTGGATTATTCATTTGTGCACCTGATACCTTTTTCTCGTGCTATTGAAAACGCGCGAAACTGTCGAAATTCGACAAGTTTCCCCTGCACGGTCGTTTATTTCCCGTGCGAAATGTTCTCGCAAGACCGTACGCACCCTCTACGGCAGTCACACTATTATTGGTATTAAGCTCCTTCCAAATCCCGCGTGCATGCAGCAGACTCGTGATTGCGGACCTCTTAGGAAATATAATCAGACCGATGAATGCACGTCGATCGTCGGACACGTAAATTCATGTCATCGGGGCTTGAAACCTCGAAGTCAGGACCCGGCTGGTTCGAGTGTTGATGTGTTGATATTAGTAGAGCTAATTTGATAGTTTAATCAATTTCCGCAAGCCGACGGGAGTTTAATGGTGATGTCATCATTTTCAACGGGGCACAATGGGGTTAATCTCGCTCGACGAGCTAATATTCGGAGAGTTAACAGAGTTTCAAATGCAGGCAGGGCCGTCATTTGCTCGCATCCGTTCCGCGGCGGTGCGCGCGCGGCTCGGACAAAGTTTCCTCTTTTTCGAAATATCCGTGAACTCGATACAGGCCGATCGCCATCGAGAAAATTCGCTACGTTTCACCATGGGGGAGGGGGGAAATAAAAGAGTCGCGCTTCCAACGATCCTACGCTTCGTCAGAATTTACCCTCCTCGCCCAAGACAATTTTAAAAACGAAATTTAAGCTTCGAATTCTATTCGAAACGTTTACGATTCTAGTTTGCGTCGTCTGTAGCCTGACGGAATAAAGTATAGACGGAATGATGGAAGAAAAGGGTTCGTTGGTTTTGGGGTAGAACAGCTCTGGTAAACGTGCGTCGAAAAATTGATATTTACGGAGTTGTGAATGATTCTTTGCGAATAACTAAATGTAATTTTTTCAAATATCTTGGAAGAATATTGTGACAGTATACAGAGAAAGACTATTGCACATCTGGTATCATAGTTGATAAAAAACAAAAATTAACTAAACTCGAAAAGTACCTAATAGCACCTAAGTGGTATACAGGGTGTTCGAACACCCCTGGGAAAAATTTTAATGGGAGATTCTAGAGGCCAAATAAGACGAAAATCAAGAATACCAATTTGTTGATGGAGGCTTCGTTAAAAAGTTATTAACAATTAAATTCAAAAATTTCCAATCGTTTTGGAAAAATTATTTTAGGTTGCGGGGGGCAATTATAATCATTTTTGGTGAATAGACATACCCCCGAAATGCTACACACTTTCTAGAAAAAAATTCGAGAAGGTGTGAAATTTTTCGGCGGAAAAAAAAATTTCAGATCGTGTTGGAAAAATTATTTTCGGTTGCAAGGCTCGATTGCAATCATTTTTGGTCATTACACATACCCCCGAATTTCTACGCATTTTCGAGAAAAAAATTCCTTGGCGAAAATCTAATGTGAGGCCGAAAATGCTTCCCCGAAATTTCATGCGAATCTTTGAAATGCCATAACTCCTGAACGGATTGGACGATTTTAATGTTTCAAACGGCAAACAACGCGTATTTTGGTGAAGAATATGTAGAAATCGCAAAAATATACGAAAAGTTGATCCTTGACCACGCAAAATGAGAAAAACCCCATAAAAGTGGTTCAATTTTCAAGCAGCCATAATTCCTACAATAGTGAATATATTTCAATGAAACTTTTCTTTAAAGTAGAGCTCATTGGTACCTACAAAAAAGTATTAAATAACTTTTCTGTAAAGCGTCTGGTAAAATTACTAAAAATCAAAAACGAATTTTTAAGAAAAATCGACAAGGTGCTGAAAGTCGACGAAAAAAAAAATTTCAAATCGTTCTAAAAAAATTATTTCCAGGTTCCGGGGTCAGATACAATCATTTTCTGTGAGTAGACATACCCCAGAAATCCTAACCATTTTCGAGAAAAAAATTCGTTACTGAAGATATAATGTCTGACCATAACTGTCTGCTACCCTGAAAATTGAAAAGTTTCAAATCATTCTAAAAAAATTATTTTCGGTCGCGGGGGTTAATTTCAATCATTTTTGGTGAATACACATACCCCCAAAATCCCACGTACTTTCGAGAAAAAAATTCTTTACCGAAAATATACTGTGTGGAAATGTATAACTTTTTAACGAAGCCTCGATAAACAAATTAGTATCCTTGATTTTCGTCTTATTTTGGCCTCCAGAATCTCCCATTAAAATTTTTCCCAGAGTTGACCGAACACACTGTATGACCATTTTCTAAACAAGAATAAGAAATCGTTGGTAAAGAAAGTTACCAAATTAAATTTATATAGCAACTCGAACCGATATCCGATCAAGTACGAAAACGTGAACAATTTGAAAAGCAATTTCGCGCGGAACAACGACAAAATGGCCGGGAATGGGAGGTAGGGGAAGGGGAGAATCGCGAATGCTTAACGTCGATGTCAACGATCGAATAAATGGAAAGTCGACACACGGTGGCGTTTGCAAACGACGGCGAAGAATTCCCATACGATACGCTTGCCTCGAAACCAGGGAAAAATCAAGCCCGGATAGGCCGTGGCTGGGAGGAGGAGGGGGGGTGAGGGGGGGGGTGGTGGCAGGGTGGAGACCAGCCAGAAGAGAGGGATGCCGGATTACCACCGACGGAATTAAAGATTCACAGGCGTGTTTCGCAGTTTTCGTTCGAGCGGCCCTGCATGCGAATCCCCGAGCGGGCATATTAGGTGGAGGCACGCAGTTAGGCAATAACCGCTGTCAATAGAACCCGGCCTCTCCTCCTCTCCTGGAGTGGCCCCCACTCGAAAATGCTACTCGCTAAATTAGGTAGGTTATATGGGCTTCGTTTCATTTGCGAGCAAACTTTAATAAACGCTAAAATTGCGTAAAAGAGCAAGGTTTTCAGACGAGCGAATCAGGGTCGGAGTGATCCCTCCTCGTCGACGGGCTCCGCGTATATACGAGGAGTTGCGCCGCGGCCGCTTCGGAAACTACCGAATCGGAATTTTTTCTTCTCATTACGGGCCCACCCACCACCGCCCGGCTTCTTGTTTACAGAGAAATGTATACGAATGCTCACGGCGGTGATTATATTTGGAAATTAATCGCGGAAACGAACCCGATAGAAATTAAAACTTCGCCCCTTTACCGTATTATATTCTCGCGTAATGACATTACGGTTGGACCGCCATTGTTAGAACTAATAGAGCGCCGAGACCACTTCGTGTAACCTTTCTATGACGACACACGCCCCGCGACGATGCTAAAAAACGCTTACAATTATACAAATCCGTGTTTTAAGATAAAATTACTCTTATGGCGTCGCCTCCCATGCTCGCCACCAGAGGGGTCATTCTCTCACAAGCGCTCGACCGACCGATTGCTATACATATACATATACATTCCTCGAACGACTTCCCAATATCCCAGTCTTATAAGACATCGCTTTGTATAGTTTTTTTGGTGCCATTTTTCTATACAAAATATTAAATCTTGCCCCTAGTATAAATAACTATTCTTAAAAGTAGCATTAAGTGCGACGGACATTATTTAATGTTAAGATTACGCGAGCTCTATGTTGAGCCATTAGTCTAAATTGTAGTCCTAGTTATAAGTTAGCCGTTTGTACGTTTAGGTTTATTGTACCCCCGAGTATCGTTCACAATTTCCCTTCATATATTTTCCAATAAAACGTGTGAAATTATAGCTTTGAAAATTTCTTTGCGAGCGCGGCGTAGAATGAAAATTATAATAACACTGCCATCTGCTTCTCTATTGAAAAGTATCTTTAACATCAACGACAGATGATAAAAAATATTAATCACGCCACAGACGACGTTAGTCCGATCTATCCTATACCTGATGAGTAACGGTTATGGTATAAAATTTTTGCATAACGACATCTACCAGTATTTCAAGCAACCTCCTGTATCGTGTTCCATTGTGCAGCTGTCAAGATTTCGTGCAAGGCCGTAGTTTCTACGTGTATAATTGTATAAAATACTAGTTTTAAGTAAATGAAAAATATTTTCGTTGTCAAACATGAGTCTTGTGGCATATGACAACAGCGATGAAAGTTCAGAAGACGAAGGTTATAACTGCGAAATGGACAACGTAAATAACGCTGCTGAAAAAGTTATAGTAAAACAAACAAATGAGAAATTGTGTTTACCTTCTCCAAAACATGATGCAGTTGTAACAGAGATCAAGGACAATGATTTTGACATAGATGTCCCATCGGAAAAAATACATTTCGATAAGCTACCTAAACCTAAAAGTTTAATTACTGAACTTGAGGATATTATAGAAGAGGACGATATTCCTTTCCCAAACAGGGAGAAAGAATTAAAATCTGAAAACCCAATCAAAAAGGATCGTCCACCAGTCAGAATAACAGTTCCCTCTTTGTCTGATGTAAGAATAACCATCATTCTATCTGCAAAATTTCTTCTTTTGTATCGAATAATATGTTTTTGGAAAAAGTAAGCGGTTAGGAAGGTAGTATCTAGGAAATTAATACATTTTACTGATTACAGTTTAAAGACATTGAAGAAGACAATGCAAGAAAATCCAATAAAATTAAATTATCAAGCGTAAGTGTATTTATACATGCATACTAATAATTGCTTTAAAATAAGTCAATAAATTTATGTACAATTTTAGAAGGGAACTAAACTCTTTGCACTTTTGCCACCGCCGAAAGGAACTGAAGCAAAGAGTACCAATAATTTAATCCCTCGTGTTATTAACAAAACAATAGCAAAAACAGGTAATAATACAAATGCGGGAGGGTCAGAAACAAAGAAAACGGCAAAAGTTGAAACAGTAAAAAGTTCTATAGGAATCAGTTATGATTCAAACTCTGAAGATGAAGACGATGCAATCGCAAATGGTGATACTAATTCTACTACAGATTTCTTCGCTCTTACGACTACAGAAAGTGTTTCAAACCGTACGTTAGACCACTTGACGAGCGATGCACCCCTGATAGAGAGAACAAATAACTTTGACTCAGGAATCAATAATGATTCGAGCAAAGAAGACAACACGCTTGATACAGCAATTAAAGAAACATGTGCCAATGTTTCTCAAAAGACATTAGTGAGTACTGTCATGAACTTACCAAAGGAAGAGATATTATTGAAAAATAAAGCAGAAGTTGGCCCGAAATTACCTGTACCCGAACAGGAATATAACATTGATACAGAAGGAAATGTGGCCTTCGATGATAAAGCTATTGAATATCTTTGCGGGAAAAGAGGAATAAAGAGGAAAAATAAAGAAATTGAGGAAGCAAATATTATCGAAATTAACGGTGAAGATATTAAACCGGATGAACGGGAATGGTTGGTAAAAGCGTTAACGGAGGAGCCAGTACAACGACCAGTTTCTATGCAAGGTGGCGGAGTAAATTCCCAATCTAAGAAGAAGCACCAAATAACGTACTTAGCGCATCAAGCAAAGGCAATGGAAATGGAGTTGAAAAATCAATGGGCACAAAATAGGATGACTAGAAAACAAACACAGTCAAAATATGGATTTTAAATAAAAATTTGTAAAAAAAAATGTACAAATAACATTCTTTATTATTCTATAAAAGTGGAAAAATTTATAAAACGAACATATTGCGATTGACAATACCGTTACACCTACTACTTAAAAACTTTTTTCTAAAAATTCTTTTTCCAGGGCTTCGTATTCCTTTTGTTTATCTCTGAGTAAAGCTTTAGCTTGTAGTAAATTTGGCGGCAAATCTTTGTACCGATTAAGACAATGATCGAGCTGTGCTAGTTCGCCGGATATTTCCAAGTACCTATGATATTTATTTAATATTTTTTGAGGATGGAGATCATCAATTTGCATATCAGTTAAATCGGTTTCCAGTGTCTCTAGAGTTTGCTTATATTCGTTTAATCTTTTAGCCAATGAGATTCTATTGCAATAAGCAGTTTCTTTCTCCTCCTTCGTGTCTTCCACAAAGCATTCAAGAGAATTTACAGCTTCTTGCAAATGATTAAGCTTCCTCGAGAAACTGGAATATTTTCTAATAATATTGTCATACGATAACGACAACTGCATTTTCTCATATTGTTTTTTCTTTTCTTCTATTTTTTTTCTTTCGCACGCTATACTCAGCGCGACATCGTCAAGATCCGACAGTTTTTCAAATTTTAAAATTGAAGCTACCTTTTGCAATCCTTCTCTAATGTCGCTGGGCAAAGATTGTAGTTCCAGATTGAATTTCGACAATAATGACAAAATTTCTTTTCCAAACGTAACATTCTCCTCCGTTGTCTCCGATATTCCTCTTTCCAGAAGTTGAAGCAACGTCTGCTCTTCCGGCGAAATAATGCCTTCGCGATACTTTACACTCGAGGCAACACTAGAATCAGTCTGCACGGATGATCCTACCTGTTACTCGAAATTTATTTGCAACGATTACATATTACTATGTTTCACGGTACTATGATAAAAATTCAATGATGCTCTTAGTTATAAAGAAAATTTCAAATATATAAACAAAATTTACCTCGCTGTTACACTCCATACTGATTGTAAACACACCTAGTTTTATACAATTAGAAAACTGTTACAAATCGCGCCTTTTTACGAGTTCGTAAATACATAAATTTGCAACAATCGCGGGTCTGCTCATCTCCAACGGAAACGAAACCGACAAAATGAAAATAAGTTGTTCTTTATTCAGTTAATATTCGAGTAGATAATAAACTGTATTCCGTCTTTCAAATATACAGTAACGTACGCCACGGCGGAAGTTTGCAAAATTTTGCGGTTAACAGTTTAAGATCCGTTTCCACATTGAAATCAAGCGAATGTATGAAACGAAATTTTTCTGTTAACTATTTTTATCGACCGGAAATGCACGTGTTGCAGTTTACTATTAGCAGATTTTATGATAGTTCGCTTATATAAGTTAAGAGACAACGTACGTTCATAAATTGTTATTTAAACTGCGATTTTTATCGCCTGTCTACGTCATGAAAATTCGCACCTTAATCGAATTCCGGTAACAGCCGCCTGGAAACCCATGATCCTGTACAAATCCGTTGTTGTTGCTTGAACGGTGACTGATTCGAAGAACAATCGCTGTAAAAAGTGGTTAGAAGCAGCAAGGATGAGCGACGATCAAGCAAACGAACTTGCTCAAACGCTTGAGGTACGATCTAGTTTAAACGACAAATTTTATGTGTTTACTTATTTTTCTGTCAAATGTATATCGTCTTTATTGTTTTAAATACATTCCAAAAGTTCTTTCTTAACGTTTATTTAAATGTTACAAGTATTTTGGCGTTACACTAATAACACATTAACTAGTAAATGTAATCGAAGACAATCGGAAATCATGTAAACGAACGTAAATAGTATGTCTGTTAATATGCAACAATGCATGTATAAGGAAAATCTTTCTACATAAGTTTGACTAGTCAATGAGGTTTTGCAGAGTGGCAGAGTTTGAAATACTAAAGCCAATGGTTATGGTTTTATGAAAATGTAGTCAATAGCTCATAAAATATTTAATGTTAAAGTTTTGATAGCTGAAAAAGTAAAGGAACAGTTTCTGGGTAAAAACACAGCATAGTAAAATGTTTGCACATCATATTAAAGTATTATTTTGGTACACTTTTAAACCATATCTAACCTTATTGTTTACATTGAAATATGAAGAGACTTGGATTTTTTTATTAGAATAGACAATTGTAATATAAAGAGTTATATTCTTACAATTATATACTTTCGGCTTTAATTTAGACATTAACATATATTCAAACATTTCTGTTGCATGTATTTCCTTTAATCTATATCTATTTGAACACCTTGACACAAATATTTCAGCTTATGTATCCAATACAACATAAATATTTAATGTTTACTATCCTGTAAACTATTAAATATATTTCCATAAAACTATAACTGTTGGTTTCAATATTTCTAATTTGATATATAAAATCTGATCGATCGAGGGATATTTTGTTATTAGATATGCAAGTAGTATTTAAGACAATCAAAATAATTTTATTATAGTTGTCTTCCAATGACATTGAAAAGTTAGAGGAAGCAAAGTTGAGGGCAAAGTTTCCAAATACAGGACGACCAATTAGTGGACATTCGGCGTTTCTACAAAAGAGGCTAGCTAAAGGGGTAAATACATGAATTGTATATATATTTATGTTGGTATAAAATTAAAAATAAATTAATAGTTACTAACTAGGATAATTCAGTTTCTAAGTAGTTTATGAAACTCTTTCAGCAAAAATATTTCGATTCCGGGGATTACCAAATGGCAAAACAAAAATATACAGCTAAACCAAAGCCAGCTGGTGTTTTGCCAACAGGTGATGCTATACCTACGCCTGAAACTGTACCACAACGAAAAACATCTATTATTCAACAAAAATTTAACACATCCACTACTTCATAAATTACTGTAATATTTACAAAAGTATTGCAACTCCAGTGATATGGTGCGATCGTATGCAATCCGAATTTTAAACAACCCAGTGTCTTTATATTTTGTAGACGATATTATTTTAAATGTCTAGTTTCTATAATATTTCTGAGATGCCTGTTCGATGATCAGAGCTTTGATGCAAAAATTTTATGTTTACAGTAGCATATATTATTGTTAATAATATGTGCACGCTGGGAAAGCATTTTTTGAGAATTGTTTTTGAAAATCCTTAAGGCACTTAAAAAAAGATTGAATTGTAACTTATAATATATTTTTTGACATTATCTATTAAACAATATAGTTTTGACCTTTCATTTATTAAAAATGAAAGTATCATTATTTAAATAACACTTACATATTGTTTAATCGTTTGAGTTATTTTTATAGGCAACAATAAATTTGGATCTTAGATTCGCAATCACGAAGGTAGAAATTCAAAATTTGTTATATAAATAAGCAATGAAGCTAGGTATTTAGGAATACAAGGGAAAAAATATGTTTGGTGACAAGGGATGATGATGTAAATGTAACCACTTGTATATGCAATAGAAGTTCAGGATAAGACATTTTACAGATCTGCATTTCCAAAGTTGCTGTGATGCGCTTAGTAAGACTATTTTCTTATAAGATGTCAGGTTGTAATAAGAATCTGTATGTAGCATAAAACAATCTTAAATATAGCAAATGTTTTGGTTATTGTAAACTATATTAGTAATATATTGCAATTTAAACATAATAATATTCGTTTAGTCACTTATCCGTTCTCGTAATAATGAAATGAAAATTACAAAATAAACTTCTACTTATTATTAACTGTCGTTCAATATTTTTATTATATTTTCGTAGTGAAGTGTAGTGATTTTAATAAATTTATTTTATCAAGGACTTATACCGGTATTGCACTAATAAATATGTATCGGTTGTACTGTCATATCCCTTATAAAAATCGAAACTCCGAGATACTAGTATTTACCTATATTCACCGGTGATTTTTTCGGTTTCTCTATTTCATTACGAATCTCAACTTACAGATTTTCCGAATACAAAGTGTTTCAAATTTGTACAGTTCTCCGCTGACTTGAAGTCTCGCGGAAGGAATGCCGGAGAAGTAGAGGGGGTACGCGTATTCCCACGCATACATTGATCTCTGGCTCGCTATTCGTCGCGGCAGTTACACACACGTGTGGACTGCCCGAGAGCAAGGGAGCGAGATAGATAAATGGGCGGTCCGACTCTCTTTGCCCCTGTGTCGTCCCGCGAGCTTCAAGTCAGCGGACCACTGTACGGCGTCTCGTCAACATCGTGGAAGGATATCGTTCCGACAAAGCAATAGCAAGCCGCAATATAAACATTTTCAGTGATAATGCCATGTGTTACTTTGAAAAGCTTTTTAAATCTTGATAAAAAGAAATTACACTGGACGGCTTGTCAGTGAGACAGAGGCCCAGTGGGACTACAGTAAAATCGAATGGTGTCAAGAGACAGAAAAAAGAAAAGGCAAACAATAACATTTTACATCCTCATTACCTTCCACTTTTGCCGTCAACTCCCCTCCATATAGGTATCGTAAAATTAAATTAAATTTTCGTCCATATTTGATCTACTTAGTATTGTGTCTATCTTTCTTTGATTTTGTGTTAAGAATCTGTGCACAAAGAACTGTTGTAAAAGTTTAAATTGGCAATCATCAGGGGTTCAGAAACAGATTAGTCCATTTTACATTAATTTTTATGGGGGAAATAGTTTCGGTTTAAAGACGACCTTTAAAAAGAAATTAAGTTGAAAAACCAAGGTTTAACTGTAAAAAAATTTTATACAGAGAGAATTTATTTGGATAGTTTTTATTACTATAATATCACCAATTATTTCAAGTTATATTACACAATACTATTTAAGTAATATACATGTGTGTTTGTTGTCATGTAAGCAATTTTAATAACAGTAGAAAAAGAAGTATATGTACTCTCCACTCCATTCATAATTTTCGTACAAATATTTTCACTGTTATTCTTTATTGCCCTATTTGATTTGAATACACATTTGCACATATAAAATTGAATAAGAAAATAATATAGCGATGAGTACATTAAGAAAAATTTGTATTACTTTTTGTTCAGTTGCACCCCCGGTTAAACATATTCATTTGGACAAGTTTATGAATTACTTTAATTTTTAATATTTCTATATATAAATTAATTAGATTCATTACACAACTTAAGTACTGTATCTTGATTATTAACATGTTAAACACAGTATTTTCTTTATAAAAGTGTAATTTTAAATAACATAGTAGTACCAAGTATATTTTAAATTCATTCAGTACTATTATATCTTTTATTTACATTCGTGTACTTCATTAAACACGTATTGTTTTTTTAAAAAATGATATTTTTTATGTGTCTTATTAACAATAGTATTTGCTTATAAACTATTGTTTACAATAATGTCACATAATTTTCATTCACATAGGCACTTATCTATTATCATATTTTAAGAAATTTTAAATCTAATTTATTTTCTTGTTTTTTTTTTTTTACTTTATATTCGATAAACTAACAGAAAATAATCAGAGCAACTTTTATTGTCAGAGAAACTAATATGTTAACGACAGATTACGCTCTTGCAACAAATTATACAAATTTCATTGAACCAAAGATATATAAGAATATCATTATTTGTATTCAAGTTGAATTCCTTTCGATTAAAGTATTTAATAACCAAATAATTGTCATTTAGTGCTACCAGGCAATTTAAATAAGAATTATATAGTTTCGAAATTTAAATTATTCTTTGATATTTTTTTTTTTAGAAATAAATCACCTTTACATTACAGATTCTTTACTTGCTTAATATCACAATTACTTTAAATATCAAAGCATTTTATATAGGCATGTTGGCAGTTGCTTCAATGTTTACTGTTTTAATGGTGTTGAAACATTTTGTTATGGATGCACTTTGCATTTTTATGCATAACACATTTACTTGTACATATCTTCTATCAAACTATCATACATTTTATGAACAACGTTCCTTCTAACTTTAAGTGTTGGTCCTAATTCTCCAGTTGGAACTGAAAAGTCATGTGGTAAAATTTGGAATTTTTGTACCTTTTGTGCATTACTTATAACTTTATTATTCGCCCTTTTGATTGCTTTATCAATTTCTTCGTATACCTAAAAGTAAATGGTAAAATTCGTATATTATTGTATACAATATTCTGCAATATCATAGTATGCATAATGAACTTACGACTGGGTCATGCGTTTTTATGACTTCTGAAACTGTTGTTGACTTGCTCCCAATAGACTGTAACCATTTTAAAGTATCCGAAGCAAATGTATCATAGGGTGCGCCAGTATCAGCAGACATATTGGTCTAAAAGTATATCCATAAAAAAAAATTGTTAAAAATATAATTTACGTGGTTTACAATTATACCATATTACATTGAATTTTAGTGCACGTATATCTTACCTTTAGACTAACCAGCATAGTAAGGTATTTTCTTTTATCCCCAATTAATAGAGCATTGCTCAATGCAGGTAATTCAGCTAATACTAATTGTTCTATATAAACTGGTGGCACATTCTCTCCACCAGCAGTAATGATTAATTCTTTTATTCTTCCTAAGCACCAACAAAAGAAACATATTAAGAATAATATCAAATGAAATAATAAAATGCATGTTTGTATGGTAGAAGATATTTACCAGTCACAAACAAAAATCCTTCCTTATCAATTTTGCCTAGATCGCCGCTGTGCAACCATTTATCTTTGTCTAAAGCATCTCCAGTTTTTTCAGGTTCGTTCAGGTATCCCATAAATATATGCCGACCGCGCATACAAATTTCCCCTTCGCCGGCACTATCTGGATTATCCAATTTAGAATAGAATCCGGGTATCGTTTGACCAACACTCTCTAGTCTGAACACAAAGAATGTTGCTAAACACCATTCTTTAATCATATACTCCGTATTCTAACGCTAGTAGTATACTATCGCCATTTATTAATAAAATTAATAAGTGATGCTTCCGACTCTTAATATAATACTGTAAAAGCGTATTAAATAATTAATATTAACCTGAAATAATCAACCGCGCATATACAGTGCGGGCCACTGTTTTCGGACATTCCATATGCTTCCAATATAGGAATATCTAAGCTCATAAAGTATTGCTTAAGCTCTAGGCTTATAGGTGCCGCTGCAGAAATACACAATTTGCTTCTATCTAAACCAAGCGCTGCCTTCACTTTGTTAAATACTAGCCATTTAGCAAACAAGTAACCCCAGTGCTTGACATCATTGCCATTCATTTTATTAAAATTGTAGTAAAGCCCTTGCGCTTTTGCCCAAGAAGCAATCCAAGTTTTTATTACTCCATTACTTCTAGCAGTTGCCTGCATCTTTTCATAAATCTTCTCCCATACTCTAGGTATGCTTAAGAAAACAGTAGGCCGTGCTACGAGGAGGGTTTCAACTAAGCTACCTTTAAGCGCAGTCTTCTCTGCAAAATACAGTATACCACCTACTGCAATGCTGCAATATATATCGACTATCTGGAATTATTAAATGATTACGTAAGTAATTGTAAAAATGTTAATCTTAATGCGTACGTAATATGTTTATTGCATTCACCTGTGCCGCAACATGAGATAATGGAAGATAACTAACTAGAACTTCTTTACCAATCTCGAAGTTGAGCGTTTGAATGGTGGTAAGCGCGTTAAACGTGAGATTATCGTGACTTAACATCACGGCTTTCGGGTTCCCAACTGTACCTGACTGTAAATAAAAAAATACATTTGTTTTTATTCGTCGAATATTTTTCACAGGACCATATTTTTCATAGATATTTTATTTCTCGTACCGTGAAAACCAATGTGCAACATTCGTTCGCTGCCATTTTCTTTAAAATTGCTTGTAATTTATCATCAGGCTCTTGGCTTCCTAGTTTCAGTACATCGTCCCACTAGAAGGCAAACATTCTTATGAAGCATATAAATAAAAAAGATTGTAACATCATGTATTGTTGTGAACTGGTAAATTGGCGAGTCGGAGGAATGCAGCTCTGATTGGCTGAACCATCCTACTCGCCAATTTACCAGCTGGCAATAGTACGTAAAGTTACATACGCTTAAAACGCCTTCTTCTTGCGATGTTTCTTCGTACATGATGATCGCCTTCAACTGAGGAAGATCTTTCCTTATTTGAAGTATTTTATCTAATTGTTTTTTATCTTCAACCACTATTATATTTGCTTGACTAGTTTCAGCACAATGTTTGCATGCCTCCGGAGAATTTGTAGTGTACACTCCGACCGCGAATCCCCTAAAAAGATAATCACAGAAAACGATATTTCAAATATACAGATTTCATAACGATTTCAAGTGAATTCTCAAAAGTTTATCTTTACCCTGCGTATATAGCTGCGAGATCTGAAATAATCCATTCCGGACTATTGAATCCCACGATACAGACACCATGGTATCGTTCTAAGCCCAATTTTAAGAAAGCCTTAGCAACGGTTCGTACCGTGTTTTCGTATTGACTAAAAGTGAACGTTTAAAGCTGAATAAAGTCACGTAAAACGTTTATTTAACTGTATTCGTGTAATATGTACCTGTAAGTGTATGTTTTCCTGATCCCGTCAGCATCAGGTCTCGTTACAAGAGCAATGTGATCAGGACAATCCTTAACTGTTTTCATTAGTAATCCAGGAACTGATGTGGGCTTCATTGAATTAACGCCCTCTTTTTCTAATTGTATTTGCACGCGTCCATTCGGCAGAGTCGTAGTCCAATTATCCGTTGGCAAAACTTGATCAGGTCCTACAACAATAAAATAATTAATATCCTTGGTTCGTAATTATTTTTCGACAGAAATATAACAAATTCTTACCATCGAGACCGGTATCGGTGTGGGGCGCATGATAAGAGCCCTTCTCTGTTGCTTCCTATTCAAATATTAATTGATCAGTACGACACCGTTTATACACATGCACAATGTCGTTGAAACGAAGTCAAGGAAGATCGTTTGTTCCGATAGGGCAAATATTTCGATAAACACACTTTTTCGCGAGAGACGTTTTTATCAATGCGATGATTAATTCATAAAAAAAAAACAAATTCAACTACATATGAAACGTTGATCCCCCGAGCGAGTGATCCTGAGTAACAAAAATCTCGTATCTATTTTATCGCAGAAAATGTTTGCAAGATCTCACCGCTAACTGAAATGTATTTTTAAATACAATAACTATTATGCATTTCTGTTAATTAAATATTGAGAAATCCGTGGAAGTTGACGGCTATCATTTTTTACTAGGTATACACGAAACGTTTAAATCACTACTCGCTCGAATATCTTCAAAAGTGTTCATGTTACTGAAAGATGTTTCAGACAGAAGTTCAACAATCGATTTAAAAATGCTCTCCACGGATTTACTTAGAAAAAACTTACATCAGATTGCCCCCACCCCCGGGGGAAGGGGTCAAGAAACCATTGGACTTTTGTCTAGACACATTTTTTAATATTATCATGTTTCTGAGATGATTGACTAGGTCGATTTATCTAGTTCCTTTTTCTCCCCTCAAATAAACGTGATTTTTACGAATTACATCATCGCGTTAACGTAAACATGTCGCTGAGAACTAACAAAAATTTACTTTAATTGGGAATAACTTTGAAATCTTGTAACATATCATTCTGAAAAGATGTTTATTTGTCAGAATATTTGCTTCTTCGAAACGAACGATCTTCTTACTTAGCTTTCGTTCAGACTGAGGAAAAGATCCGAATTTTTATATTAACCGTGGAATTTAGTTAGCATAGCTTAATGTTAAATTCTGTTTACCTTCTCGTTCGCCGTGAAACCTTTTATTACTCCATTCGATTGGACCGGTTGCACCGTAGTCATGTTTTCTAAAACAATAACAATCGATATTTAATTGGTGTTTCTGATAATAAAAATAAGCGAATTAATGTCTAAATTAGTAAGAATCGATTGGGCGATCGAACGGATATGAAAACTTTATCGACGAATTAACGAAACGTTTATTCCTTCAATCTTTGGTCAATCGAGGTACGAAGCTTAATATGGTGAATATCATAAATAAAATATGCAGTGTGAAATATGCATTGCGTGCACACAATTGATCGTTAAATGTAAATATAAATTATTGAGGCGAGCAAGTGGCCTCTAATGGTTTGATTAATTTTATGGTACCGACGATTTCAACTCGCTGCCGTTGACGCATACACGTGAAATCGCGTGATTTTGTCGTCGAAAAGATTAAAGGTCATCGGCGATAATTCTACCATATTGCGTAAATATTATCATGAATAATCAAAGAGTTGTAAAAAGAACAGCCCCGCGCTATGCATAGGTGTTAGAACTTTCGATTTATTTTAAATTAGAATTTTTTATTTTTCCACGTTAAAGGAAGATAAAAAATTATTTTCGTCAAAAATTAAAATAACTTAACTCTGTAAGAAGCAACGTAATATAGAAATTAAAATTTCATCAAGTTTCGAAGAATTAGCTGATTTTACAACTTTTGTTGCTCCAATTTTTGACAAATTCGTCGGTAGACCGATTAGCCGAATATTTGCTCGTTAGTCGTGTTGTATAAGCATATAAGATTCTACGAGGGTATTGTTTAAGCTTTGTACCTGCTCGGCAACGAAAATTCAAATGTAAAAGGAAGTTATGTATGTACAGTTGAAACGACACGGTACGAACGATACATAGAAGCATAATTCGATCGTTAATTCGCTCGAGTGACCTGTTACTTTCGTTGGTATATTTGCTGTTCTCAAACTTCTAAGAAAAAAATGAAAGTGAAATTTTTTCGCTGTAAAAATATACGTGTATTCACGACGCTTTCGTGTACGAATGCCCCTTCGTCTTCGATCGGCAGTTTCACGTGCAGTAATCTATCACTTTTACGTTCTATAAACCTCTGTACTCGCGAGAATCAAAGTTCGCGCACTGGGCGAATGGTTTTATCGTTACTCGATATTAGAAACTATAAATATTGTACAGTTGTGTTTTCTTGTATCTTTTCGTTTATTGCTACGCCGCGTCAGGCGATGCACGACCAAAGTGCAGTTAATGGATATTCACATTTATTATTTGCGTGTGTACGTAAAGTATCAATAAATCATACCGAAGTGAATCCAAGAAAGAAGCTTTACATACATCAACCTTGGCAATGACTGATATAGGATCAACGATCATAAATTTTGGACGACGCAACCTACCATAGATAACTAGTTATTATCCGCTCGGTGTTATCGGATAAGTCGATCTGTCGATACAAAATCAATAGCTTATTGTTTCGTGTCATTAACATCGTTGTCCCTTAATACGCGCCACGGCTTTCAATTATCGTGGCAATGTAAATATTTTTATCGGAACCGGCGCGTTTCAATCCGACACCCGACCTACATACGCATAATCAGAGATCAAAGAAACTTTAAAAAATTCATCTTTCCGATTTTCAAATTAACATTCGCGTCTATAGTGAATTGGACAAATAACGCAACGAGTTTTAATAACTCGAATTGTTCTTTTTCTCTTTTGTTTTACTAATCGGCAGAGAATTTTACAGGATTGAAACAAGCGTGACAAGAAACGAACTCTGGAGACAGAATATTTAGTACAGCTTGTAAAAAGATGCGTCACGTATACATGTGTAGAAATTTGATTCATACCACGGAAATGATTATTCAAAAATATTGAAAAATGGTAAAGATTTTCTTACGTCGTAAATATTAATATTAATAGGAAACAGTGAAAATTGAAGTACCGCTGGTGTGCTTGCGTAACGACTGTATAATATTAAAATGGATTTAAAAAACGAAAATTAACTTATTTTAACGCGTGTTTGATGAACTATTATCGTAAAACTACGCGATCGAATGTACTTTCGACGTTACCACTCCTTCAAAGGCGTGTTGCTCGGTTAAAAGACACGTTTTTCGATAACTATCATCGAATCTTAATTAGTATCATTTTTTTAGACGACACTAGACCGTTTGGTTTTGCTTAATTTAAATAAATACCTTTGAAAAGTAGAATAACCATCTTGATGGGTTTCGAAGTACGCTGGTGTGTTAGAATACCACGAGCGAAACTGTTAGACTCGCCAAAATCAATAATAGAACATCACACCACCTTTCAGCGGCAAATTCAAGCGTCGAATGAGTTCGTTTCTTATATTTTTCACCAATAAATATTAAATATCCGTGTAAACGTATATATTATTTTGATAAGTAAACAGTGTCGGGAAGATTACCGATAGAAACGCGCCTCGAAACAATTATTCGGTAAAAAAATTATAATTAAAAATATAAAATATGAAGAATATGATATATTTAATAATACATTTCGTAATATTGTTCACCCGTATTGACGTAATATTGAATTTATCGTGGGTCAATTTTTAATTTTATGGCGTGTGTAATTCCCAAGCTGTGAATCTTTTTCACTGCAGACGATCGCATATAAAAATCTAAAGGTGTCAAGTCCGGTAGACCAGATTCACTGGACCAATCGAGGGCAATGTTCGATTAAACAGTTATGTCAAGTTCACGATACGATCTCTTCGCCATTGCAATGAATGTTGTGGAAAACGATACCGTCTTAACTACTCGAACGACCATCCTAAATATTAGAAATACTATTATCATTGCAAGAACAAACTTCTTTTTAATCGTTTCTCTAAAATTTGGGATGGTCCTTCGAGCAGTATAAACGATATTAGCGCGTGTAACATTCAAGACTCTAATTCTTAACAGCCATCTAATTATACCCAACCATTTTGGTGAACAGCAAGGGTATTTCTTCGTTGAAAACATTAAAAAATATTCTCCAATCGACTGCCCGTAAAGAAGATGGGAACTAATACATCCTTTGCATCTTCTGATCCAAGTACTGCATTTATTTATTTTCAAATAGAAAAATTTCCTCGAACTCTGTGCAATCGTGCAAACGAATTGATTATCATAATTTCTCAAAGCATAAAATCAAAGGAGCTGAGAGAGAAATTTCTTGAATATGTTCTTTAAATGTTTTATCGATATTCGATATAAATTCCTCGTTATCTTAATCTTGGATTAATTCGTAAATTTTGAAAATTCTTTTTTGATACCTTTCGATTTTCAAAAAAAGCACAACGCCAATTTTTGAACGATAATATATATTGTTGATTATAATGGCCCTTTTAAAAAAACCGTGCTAAAAAAATAATCGATAAAAAGTGATTAATCTGTGTTTTTTATGGAATATATCGCATATTCGTTTTAAAATAATTTTTATTCATAAAAATATTGACACGATTTAAATTTTCACAACTGTAAATACTTAAACGTACACTATCGGCACTCCTCCGATAAGGTAATCTTGATTCGACCGTATTTTTACGCGGCAACTAATTAACCTCTGTTCCTCTAATCAACTAACCTTATTTCATTTATTATTATAATCTGCCGAAATTATTTTTCATTCTGTGACTTGTACGTTGAAACGTAAGACTATATTCGATATATGTATATCCTGATAATGGAAATCTCCATACTGTTAAAAGTGTGTTAGATTAAGAGAGGACCACGCTTGCTAATTTTGTCTGAGATTATAATAAAGAATGAAACACAAAGTCCACGCCGTAAGAACTTTGTCCCTCTTAAATTTTTTTCCCCCGTTTTTTTTTCTTAAAACATTCCTACCGATATTTCTTATCGTATATTCTACTTGCGATAATAATGTTTCTTTTTTTTAGTGTTTCTTATAATCACATTTCACGCTGTATTTATATCGACCACTTGCTGTTATCCACGATTTAGGTCGCGTTTAAGTCGTTCCTGTTTACAGTTTTTTAAACATTTTTTCAGTCGCGTTTATCTATCGGAACCTTTTTAAAACAAAAAAGTTTGCAAATTCAACTTCCAACAAATTATGTCATTAAAGTTTTTGTTGTGAAAGCCAGTGTGAGCGAGATATATTACACATTTTATACGGCTAAAACTTGATCTACTTTGATACATTCTTTTCATAGCGATTCCTCTAGCCATTTTCTCACGATGAGGTATCAAACGAACGGACACAACTAGATTTATAATTGTTTATTATTTATCCCTGTATAAGTCCTGTTGGGGTGGTTTAACCAAAATCGACTCAATAGATTTTGAGTTAACTCGAAACGGACAAACAAAACATTCTGAAAATGTATAATTTGGCTTAGATATCTTAAAAACTTTACGTCTAAGCCAAAATTGTCTAAAAAGCTACAATTCTATGTATATAGATTTTTTTAAACTTATGTATAATTTGCTCCTGAGAAAGGCCATTGTAACGTAGCCAAAACGTCTACAATATGTATCATCGTTCAAAATTGGCGCTGTTTTCTTTTCAGTATACTGCATAAAAGATTGTCCTAAAATCTAAAAACTTTTGTCGTAATGTCATACCCAGAGCGTTAGAAATTATAAGATTTTGTGTTTATCATTTTTTCAATGTTTGATAAGTTTAGAGATGTTATAAAAATTATGAAAAATAGCAGTGTTTACATTTTATTTTTGCTAGACTCTAGACCTTTTGGAATGTATCGGTTGTCAAAACTGTTTTGTCAGATGATCAGTACTCTTTATCGTATGTGTATATCTATTTCCGCCAAACGATTACTATACTTTTTGAAGTACGTTTCGTGCACTATTTTCGTCCAATTTCTCGCTATAGAACGTTACTGGCGAAGTTTACCAGCGAGTACCTAACATGTTAAAACAATACAGAACAATGAGTTTACAAACAAACGAAATGCGACGTTCATCGTGTTACGTAATCATATTTTTATGGTGCATTAAATAGTTATGGTGTACCGAAGCAAATAGTAGAATTGATAACGTCTGCACACTATTTGAAA